TGGTCATTATTTTTGTTTCCTTTATGTTCAGCATTAAGCCTGCCTTTGAATTTCTTCTTGGATCTTCCTTAGGAGGTGTTCCGGATCTGTGAGGTTCTCTGCTAGTATTATGTATATTCGATGTATGGCACCCTCATAAATGAGAGGCACCTGGTTCAGCAAAGTAGCCCAGATTAGTTATCCCCATTTTGTGGTGGGCAGTTTCACAGGGTCCCCCCCCCTCCACCATTAGTCTCTTGTGCTGAGCAATGGACCTTTCCCTGGGATGGCCTTCAAGCATCTCTGTTTGATGGAGGAAGAGGAGGGGGATTGTGTCTCCGTGGTTCCAGGAAACAAAAGGTATGTCTCAGCTGCAAGGAGCTTGGTTTCTGAGGGCAGCCTGGCACTGCTCTCGAAGGCCGTCTTTGGCTTCTTGCCCATCCTTGCCATTGAACCCCTTGGCTCTGTCATGGGCCTGCCTTGGTGGGTTTCTTTGGGGCTCATGCACACTGTGCCCCGGGGGTCTTGGGGGGCAGTGATGCTCCTGAGAGAGGCTCTGGTTGCCCCCCTCTGCCTCCTTCCCCAAAGAGCAACTGCTCCGCTCTTAAAGAGCACCAGGAATGCTCCTCCTCGTACGTTTGGACATTCAGAAGAGCAAAACACAACTGCTGTTCAAAGCCAGAAATGGACAAGTGGACACTTCTGAGCGAGTGGGGCATTTTGGGCAGCCCTCATAGCCCCCGAGGGGTTCGGGGCAGAAATTAGCCCCAGGGCCTGCTGTAGCTGCCATCCCTGCTGCCAAGTCTGATGGTCTGCAAAAGAGAGTTGGAAATCAAGGAGCCACAGCTGCCCAGGGAGTGTTGGGCTCCAACTCCCATCATTCCCTACAGCCAGTAGAAAGGAATGCTGGGAGCTGCAACCCTGCAACATTTTCAGGGTCACACGGCACCACACACACACACACACGGAGCATCTGGTGTTAGTGTGCTTGCTATTGTTGCTTACTGTGTGTCTGTTTAATAACTTTAACGTTCTGTGTTGACTTTAGTATGCCTCCATGTGTGTGTGTGTGTGTGTGTGTGTGTATACTAAAATAAAAATAGGTTCTGTGTTTGCTAACACACAGCAACACCCCTGCCCTCCTTTTGCATAAAATTGTTATGTGTTAACAACAGTTCCCACTTTTAGGTTGTTTTGCACATTCTGCTCAGTGCAAACCAGGCTGGAAAAGTGAGTCTTTCAGTTCGGACATGTCTGTCTGTGTGTGTGACCCCCGTAACAGACTGGCATCCAGGTGCCTGCCTCCCTCTTGGAGGAGGAGGAGAGGGGAGGGCAGGCTCGTTCTCCCCAGCCCCCTCAGCCCAGCCCCAGCCCCAGCCCCAGCCCCAGAAGTGACCAAGCAGGATGGAGAGCAAGAATGGGAGCGATGCACCAGGCCTGACCGCCTGAGAGCTGCTCCCTGCCCCGGGGCTGGAAGGCCGATGATGGGAGGCCTTGCAGGACAGCAAGGGGGCTGAAGGGGGGCTGCGTGCATGCCAGCAGGGAGCAGAGAGTGTCTGTGGGGCAGACAGGCTCCAGGGGCCCCTGAGGGGCAGGTGTGGGGTGAGGCAGGACACAGCAAGCAAGCCACTGGAGCACCTTGGCCGCTCCTTCTGGGTGGTCTGGCTGTCCAGAGGGGCACAAGCGAGGTCCCCCTCCGGTGCAGAGCCTGTCCTGGGGAGGGAGAGTGGGGGTCCCAGCCCCCAACCCCCCTGTCCTCAGTTCCTCCTTCCTGGTAAGTTGGAGCACCCAGAGGTCATCCAGACACATGTTTCCTGTGGGGGTCCAGTTAATTTGCTGAGACTCACACATGCGCAACCCTCTGCTGTTCCACAGGAATTGCTTCTGGCTCCTCCTCAGCCTTGGACTTGGAAACCTTTGGTCCGGAGCCTGTTCCACAGTCAAACAGCTCTTGCTACCAGGATGCTTTTCTTCCTGAGAAAAATCTTGTTTCTTGTTATCTGAATGGCTGGTTCAGGTCCCAAGCTCTGTAAAGCATTCAAAATATTTGAAGATGGCTATCAGATCACCTCTTAATTGTCCTTTCCCCCAGCTAACC